TACTCGAGTATAAGCCGAGGCGGCTTTTTTCAGCCCAAAAAGTGGGCTGAAAAACTAGGCTTATACTCGAGTATATCCTTACATTTATGCTCTCTACATATGATGTAGAAATAAATGCCAGGAATAAGTATTAGCTAGCACTTCAGAGGAATAGGATATTATGTGTGCTTAGAAGGAAAATGCGATGCTCCCTATCTAAGATGTGCTAATGAAATGAAATGAAAATGGAGTTACAAAGAGTAAAATTGCCGCCTTGTTAGAGAGCTTGCAATAAAAAAACAACAACGCCTTGTTATCCTAATCTTCTATGACAGTGTTGGTGAACCTTTTTAGCACCAAGTGCTGAAATGGGAGCGTGTGGGTGTGTGCGTGCTGGAAACTGGAAGAGCAGCACGTGGGGAAGATGATTTTAGTTTCCAGTATGAGGCAGGGGCCCGGGCAGCTGGTCAGCAATGCATTATACGCATAACTTAAGGGTATGCAGAGATATGCACTGGAAGTTTTTAAGGCGTTGGACAACCATTTTTCTGAAATGGTATGTAGGGTTTCCTGCCTGAGTAGGCCATTGAACTAGAAGACCTTCAAGGTCCCCTCCAACTCTGTTATTCTATTAATTGCCAGCTGATTAATTATGCAATGTTTTTAATTACTTGGTGTTCTTATCCCGTCACCATTCCAGCCTCATTTATTTAGCTTCCCTTCGCTGTCTGCATTAAACACAGAACTGCTTAAGACAAGATTCTCTCATTTTCGCATATGTTAATCTTTAAAACGTCCTATGCATTGATGCCCTTGGATACATACAAATAAACAATAAAGCCACATATTATTTCAGTCATATCCGTTTATAAAATCCTCTCCCCTTGCCGGTCAGAGTTAAAATGTTTGCATGGATATGCTCGCTTTTCATGGAAGAGTTTCCAACTTTCTCTCTGCCTCTCTCCAAATATTTAATAATACCTGGAGGAATAATTTCAAAAATGAAGATCCGTCTGTTTGGAAAAAAAAAATCAGATTTGCTTCCTAGACTTTTCTTCCTATTTAAAGCATGTGTTTGTTGAAAGCTTCTCTTTATTTCCTCGTGTGTGTGTGTGTGTGTATGTGTGTGTGTGTGTGTGTGTGTTTTAAAATAATGTTCAAGGGATCATTAATTTCATGTTATGGCATGCTCCTTCAAAGGACCCTTACATTAATTATATGGTTTAACAGCAGCTGCAGCAGTACTGAGGATATACATTTACAATTCCTTGTCAGCTTGTGGTCTTTTGAGAAATAGATGCACATTCATTCGAAGGCCAAAAAGAAAGTATGTCTGATGCATCTGTTTTGAAAGCAATCATCGTAATTTAAGGACTTTTGTACATTACGGTTCAGTGGGCTTGACTATGGTGCTTCACATCCTGCGAAGAGGTTAGAGGACTGCTCTTTAATTGTAGACTCCCTCTACCATTCAGCATTTTTCGGTAGTTGACCGAAAAAGTGTGGGAGTACAGCTAATTCATAGTTGGGGATGTCGACTTGCACAATGTAGTGATGGTTGTTTTGGCAAAGTTGCTGGGTCCTTTTCTTGATTGCTCAAAAAGGAATGAGCAACAGAGCACGAATTGTGCCTTTAAATAGTCCTTTTGTGTGTGCTTGGTTTCAAAAATGTGGATCTTCTGATGTCCAAGATAACTGGATGAGAAATGTGTGACCCTGCAAAAATGCCTCTATTTGTTTTGTGTGAGTGTGTGTGTGTGTGTGTCTGTATGTGTGTTTGTGTGTATGGATGGATGAATGGATAGATAGATAGATAGATAGATAGATAGATAGATAGATAGATAGAAAGATAGATAGATAGACAGACAGACAGACAGACACACAGACACACAGACACACACACACAGTGGCTCAGTGGCTAAGACACTGAGCTTGTTGATCAGAAAGGTCAACAGTTCGGCAGTTCAAATCCCTAGTGCCGCATAACAGAGTGAACTCCCGTTACTTTTCCCAGCTTCTGCCAACCTAGCAGTTCGAAAGCATGTAAAAAATGCAAGTAGGAAAAATAGGAACCACTGGTGGGAAGGGAACAGTGTTCCATGCTCTTTCGACAATTAGTCATACCGGCCACATGGCCACGGAGACATCTTCAAACAGTGCTGGCTCTTCGGCTTTGAAACGGAGATGAGCACCGCCCCCTAGAGTTGGGAACGACTAGCACATATGTGTGAGAGGAACCTTTACCTTTACATATGTACGCAGAGAAGAAAGCAAGTCGGTCATTATTTAATATATCTTTGTTCAATGAATGCCTTTCAATGCTATTTTGTGATGGTCCTTTTATTGCTTTTATTCAGGTGTACAACATGTTCCAACACCAGAGTCTTGGGGTGAAAATCTACGTTCGAGTGACTAAGCTTGTCTTGCTTCGAAGGCGTCCTGTAAGTTCCTTTCCAGCTTTGATTGAAACGGCGGGTAGTGGGGTGGTATTCTAAACCTTGTTTGAGTTTAGTCCACTGGCTGGCTGGGATTGATACCAAGTTTGATTCCAAGATTATGAATTTCATACCTTTTGCCAATTTGTCTTACTGTTTTTCTGAATTTACTGAAAAGTGTTTCAAGTTTTGCCTTGAGAAATACTTTCCTCCGATAGTATCTGTCAAGGGTGGATTCTAAAAAAAATGAAATACTTAAAAAAAAAAAAGACTGGTTAGGGTTTGGAGGAATCTTTCATCATCAAATGTAGCAATTGTTGAAGAAACCAAAGTAGACAACCTAATCCTAATAGGCCACTGATCTTCTTTGACACTGTATGAGTTTATTGGCTTTCAAAGCCCCACGTTGATTATTTGAGAAAAAAAATGATTATATTGCTCAGTGTTGTGGTCTGCCAGCAGAGCTGGGAGCAGATTCAGACAGTGAGGAAGTTGGGAAGGAACATGGGCCAGTCCTGGAGTCTGGGGAAGGCTCTGATGAGGGCTCTGTGTCAGAGGCAGAGATGGAGCCAGGGCCGTATGCCAGTTATCAGCTACCTTCAGAGTCAGACATCAGTGAGGCAGACAAACAGCTGGAGCCTGTTCCCAGTGTGTGCATGCACTGAGCTGTCAGGAGAAGGGAACAATTAAGGAATGGGAGTAACGACTCGGGATTAAAGGCACAAGTGGACGCTGAATGGCCCCTCCCATAGGGAATAAATAGGAGCAAAAGGGGAGTGGTGTTTGCAGGAGACAATTAGTTCATTAACGGGAAGATTTGCTTACCTGAGACACTCCTTGCCAAGTATTTCATTGTGCAGCATTGCACCTGGAATCTATCTGCCTGGCAACTATCCAAGGACTGATACAGTCTGGGTTTGCAATTCACCCTTGAAAGACGGTTTGCCGGGAACTTGCTGGATGTCAATGCTAGAAATTCACATTAGCCAAATAAAAAGGGTGTTATTTTTTTCAGGACAAGGAGACTGTTTGGTGATTTAGTGAAGTATAGGTCAGAACACTTGGGTTGATAAAATGCAGCCTGGTGAGCAAATTTACCCCTTTAATTCCCTGCACAAGTGAAGAGAAGATGAATTCCATTTACAGCAAAAAGTTGCTTTGCAAAGTGAGATGGGTGGGATGGATGGATGGATGGATGGATACAATTGCACTTATTTTCCACTGCAGAGTGTTCCTTTAGGTACTGTGATGAGCTTGGCTGAGCTACATTTTTTAATTTAACATACAAAAGCTTGTTGACTTGATCTATGAAATGCATGTCTGGAGTCCATCAAGGCGAGCTTCAGTATCCCTTGACCAACATGCCTGGCTCTCACCTTTGTCTCCCTTCTGTCTCCTGCTCCCCCCCACTTCTTTTTTGAAGGCCAGGTTGTCCATAAGTCACCATGGAGAGAGGTCCCTGGAAAGCTTTTGCCAATGGCAAAATGAAGAGTTTGGAGGTGCGAAGTACCTTGGGAACAATCAGGTTCCCGGAGCACGAGATGACACTCTTCCAGTAGATGCTGCTGTCTTTGTTACAAGGTATGGAGTGAATTCGGATTGAGTGAACAATTGGCTTTCCACTGTCTGTTTACTAGGAGAGTTAGGTCTAGATCTCAAGGCAGCTGTTGTGGGGCTCCAAAATGGATTAGAATGTTTCACGAATGAAGGTAAAATATATGTGTCCTAGGATAATGTTGCAGTTCAGTTGGGATCATAACCTGAGGACTACCTATATTCGAAATGTCGGAGCAAAAATGGGGTCGGATTTTCTGAATCTCCCCCTGCCCCTTTCCAGCCTCAAGGTGGAGGAGTGTTGTGAAGACCTGAAATTATCCCCCCTCTTCCTCCCTCCCTCTCCTCTGGACTGATGTATCTAATGAAATTCCACATGTGCTTTGGTCAAGCAGGGAAAAGTGACTGAATGCTGCTGAATTAGGGTGGATTTAGAGAGGCAGATGCTAGAAATAACAGCCATGGAAAGAACTGTGCTGGGTAAATGAAAAGATTAGTTTGTATTGTGGGAGAATTAGGCAGCGTATAGAGGCCCAGGTTTCAGTAAAAACCACATCCACTGTGCAAAATAAGCTGGCCCTGGATTCTCACAACCCTTCCCTTCCTGTATATCCTCATTTCCCCCCATCCTGTTACGATTTCCCTCTGCTAAAGGAGGGAATGGACCGGGAACAATGGTCGGTTGAACAATCTCCTGGCTCAGCTGTTTTGGCTCCTAGGGCACAGGAATTCAGCGTTTTTGCTTTTTAGCTTAAGTGCCGTCTTTCAGCGTGTGTGGGATGTGTGTGTGTGTGTGTGTGTGTGTGTCTGGATGAACCCCAGATGTTTCAGATGTGGACCAGTGGCAAAGGAGGCAGAAGCAGGGCTGTGTCCAGCATGGAAAGGCTAAGCCAAGAGGGGAAAACAAAAAAACAAAAGAAGAAGAGCTGGATCTTCAACTTTAGATTTTTCTCTCTGCCTGTTTGTAACCAGAACCAGACATTTTACGATTGCCCTCTAAAAACACGTCTTTTTTTTCCTGCGTGGAGCATTCTTTTCAGTGAAAAGGGAAGCCAAGTTCTGTTCACCTTGGGAAACTTTCTCTCTCTTTTTGCCCATTGGTCTCAACTCATCAAGGCTTCCTTAAGTCTAGAATAGCAAATATTACTTGGATCATACAATAGACGAAGCCAACACCTCACAGCAACTTAGCTTAGCTTAGCAGAATAGAACAGCAGAATAACAGAGTTGGAAGGGTCCTTGGAGGTCTTCTAGTCCAACCCCCTGCTCAAGCAGGAAATCCTATACCATTTCAGACAAATGATTGTCCAATGTCTTCTTAAAAACCTCCAGTGTTGGAGCACCCACAACCTCTGGAGGCAAGTCGTCCCATTGATGAATTATACTCCTTGTCAAGAAATTCCTCCTAATTTCTAGGTTGCATCTCTCCTTGATTAGTTTCCACACATTGCTTCTTGTTCTACCTTCAGGTACTTTGGATAATAATTTGACCCCCTCTTCTTTGTGACAGCACCTCAAATATTGGAACACTGTTATCATGTAGAGCCCAACCACAAATAATGGCCAATGGGTGGCCATGAGTCAATGCCCCCCCTTGTACGCTGGTATGTCAATCAGGGTTTTCTCAGAATGTCAAAGGTAGGCGGCAGAGAGAGTGACCACCTCAAACTGAAAAGTTAGAGCATGGACCTCATGGAAGGAATGTGGAGAAAAACACTGGACAACCCTTTGCCAATCTAGGTGTATTTCAACTCCTAAGAATTCTCCAGATCAATACAATCTCTACTGGGAACTGAAGTCCAACCATTCCTCCCCCACCAATCAGTGGAGAGGACTTTGGGTAAAGAAGATCATCTCTCCGATGTCTGGACTTTGATGATCCTCCCTTTCAGATGTCTCCTTCCTCTTCCTCCACTTCCTCACACACTCCACAGGGGTGGCAGTGGTGGGATTCACTTACCTTCCCTACCGGTTCACAAAAGGGAGTGTGCGTGTGTGCTCGCTTAGCTCACACACACTGCATCGGTGCATGTGCACCTCCTCCTGCACAGTGATCGCATGTTATGTCGGAGCGGGTGGGCAAAGCCTCCCGCAGCCGCCACTTATGGTTCGCCTGAAGTGGAGAGGACAGCTGAACACCACCTCTGAGGGCTGGGCTTCAAATGTTTCAGCAACTGGTTCTCTGCTCCGTTGCTGGATGGGCCTGGCCATGGTGGGCGTGACCTACTCGGCCTCATGGACCATGCTGGGGGATGTGTGTGCATCACGTTTTCGCTTTCCCCATGTTCAGGAGGCTTTCCCTGAGCCTCCGGGAGGGCAAAATTCCTACCCCGGGTTCCGGAGGCCTTCCAGGAGGACCATTCCCCCCCACCCCATGAACCACCATGTGGGCCCTGCATTAACCTCGCATCCAAAACGGGCCGCATGGAGACTCCTGGATGGAGTGAGGTGGGCGGGGCCAGCCCGGGGTGGGATTTGGAGGTTCTCCGAACCAGCCATAATGTTAGCTACGGGTTCTCCCTGAACCCGGGTGAATCTGTAGCAGCCACCCCTGGTTTGGGGTTCATTTCTCTTTGTTCCCCTCATTACATTTATGAAATGGTAGTAAATATTTATTCATCTCTTTTCTTGGAGAGCTTTCTTTCAAGAAGCTGAGCACAGATGCTGTTAAAGATGACTTTCCATAATGCAGGTCCTACCTGTTGCCTGTTCTGAGAAAAGGGTGCTTCCCTTTTTCAGAGGTATTTGAACAAAGGTTGGAGAGCTGAGTCCCGGGATAAAAGGTTCGAGTCACTACATGGCCTCTTTCAATGAATGTTGGCATGTGGAACATACCTATGGTCTATTACGGTTCCATCATAATTTAAAACAATTCCTTTGCATTGCTGAGGAAGCATGCAGACAATCCCATCTTGAACTGAACTGGCTGGAGACATACAGTCAGCTGATGTCCAGCTCAGGAAACACGAGCCAAGCAAATGTCAACAAAAACGTTTGGAGTCTTGCCTTGCTACTGGGTGTGTGATACATAAAAAGGTCTCTCTGGAGGCAGATGTGAGTAGAATAGCTTACACAGATTAGAGCTACAAGCAGGATGTTCTGCAGAGAAAATAACAACTCCTGGAGTTCATCACTACTGCCTTATACCAAAGCTTCTTCTTTTTTTAAAAAAAAATCCACTGCGAGTTAGAATGTAGTGCAGATTAAATCTCAAAATTAAGATTGTTTTGGTAACCTCAGGTCCGTTTGGTTCTTTTAGAAGATTCAAGGCTTAAAGCCTAGATACATGGATATACTTGTCAAACGAGTCACAGCTTACAGTACGCAGATGCCATGCTTGATGAAATGAAGGGTCTGTCTGGTGAATGCAAGGCTCTGTCTTCAGGAGACTTATCAGGAGTTGAAAAGGAGTCTGAAAACAAGCGTCAAAAGCAACAGCACCTTCCCACGCTTGGTCTCACGACTCGTTCTTTGATATTGGATGATCTGCAGAGCCACAATTTGCACTCTTGTGTTGTGAACAGCTGCCTCCCCTACTGTTCTGTGCAAATGTCAAATTGCGTATTTGATTTAGAAACCAGCAAAAGGTATGGTCCTAATACTGTCGGTGGCAAACATACCATGTTTTTCAGAGTATAAGACACTCCGAAGTATAAGGCACACACTTTCAATTTCTCCTGATCATCAGCTGTTTCAGGCTGCAGGGATTGCTATAGCTTATTGAATCTTCCCCAAGCTCTCGACCACCCCCCCCCCCGTTTGCTGCAAGGAGGTAAATTGCTGGGAGGCAAAGGCCAAATGGTGGGGGCCGGTGGGTGGGTGGGTCTACATGTATAAGACACACCCAAATTTTCACCCTCTTTTAGGGAGGAAAAAGGTGTGTCTTATACTCCAAAAAATACGGCTGTTAAAAGAAGGAATCTCCAATGATTCAAAAGGCTGGCATCATCACTACAATTAAACTATTATGTAACTTGATGGTTGTTGTCTTTACGAGTGGCATATGTCTCTTTTAAACACATGCAGATCCTTGCATACCATTAAATAATGTGTACAATACATTGTTGGAAGTGGTTTAATTTTCAGAAGAACATTGATTATAGAATAACAGAGTTCGAAGGGAACCCTGGAGGTCTTCTAGTCCAACCCGCTGCTTAATCAGGAAACCCTATCCCAGTGATGGCAAACCTTTTCAGCACCGAGTGCTGAAACCAGAATGCATGTGCATGTGGGCCAGCTGGTTTTGGGGTTTCTGGAGTGCGCATGTGTGTCGGCCAGCTGGTCTTCGGATTTCCATCGCTCTGGCACACGCAAAGGAATCACGCTCCAAAAAAGCAGAATTTCCAGTTCCTGGTGTCCATGCACACACGACAATCAGCTGGCCGGCATGTATGCACACACCGGTTTTTGGCACTGCTGCACGCGCAAAGGATAGCTGACCGTCGCATGCAAATGCGTACCAGAAACCCAGAAGACAAACAGGCAAGGCCATGGGTCTTGGACAGTGGTAGGATTCAAATAATTTAACAACCAGTTCTCTGCCCTAATGAACGGCTGGGTAAGTGTGGCTCAGTGGTCATGTGACTGGGTGGCCGTGGCCAACTCAACGTCACGTCAATGGACACTTCGCCTTAGCAGTTACAATGTAATAAGGGTTAACGGAAGGGACAGTTTCTGTAAGCAGGGCAATAAAGATTAGGCTAGAAACAACACCAGAATGTTTCCTTCCTGCCTTCCTTACAGGATTAGCCNTGTATAGGTGGTAGACAGAAGCAGGCAGAAAGTGTATGTGTGCGAGAGAGAGGAATGGATGGGTGGCAGATGGATGATTAGTCTTATGATCATATAAAAAACAAAAATAAAATACGGGCTCTAAATCCAGGATAAAATAAATTTTAAAATACAGAAATAAAAAGACACATGTTGTAAATGCAAATAATTAATATTCAGATAAATATCTAACCTTTACAGGGTGACTTGTCTAAAAACATTCTTATCTCGACTTCCTTAACTATAAACCTAGCACTTGTGCAAAGTATACATTAAGACTCCTGGATGAAACAGGACGATCTGCGATTCAGTTCTTAGCATGCTGTTCTTTCAAATAGGGAGGTTAAGTATCTCAGCTTAAGAGAGGCATTTAGTGGACAGTTCAACAAAACATGAGCAATATCTTCAGTGGCTGGAGCATCCCATATACATACATGTCCTCTCATGATATGGTAGGTTGTGGAAATTAATTCTCTAACATTAAAAGTGAGACACAGCTTATTATGAAGCTTTATAGGAAGTGGCCGCTAATTGTTTGAACATTTCGTTATGTTTTGGACCACATTTGTGGTGGTCATAAGGTGGGTCACCACGTGACCAGACCTGGTTTTACGATGGTTTTTCTTTGCAGCTGCAATTAAATGAATGCTGCAATCATTCATCAAACTCATTGTTTGGTGTAGGGCACCATACATGTGTAGGGCACTGCAGACAGCCATAAATGCAAGCCAGCTGCTGAGGGCCCAAAATTGCAGTCGTATGTGTGGTTGTCTTTGTGTGTGTCAGTGTGTGTACATCAGAACTTCCAATCAGGATTGTAAGTCCCATTTTGGGGGTCTATCGTAATTTTGTTGTTATTGATAGTTGCGAAGTTGTGTCCGCCCCATCACGACTCCATGGACAATGTTTGTCCTTCCTGTCCTCTACCATCCTCTGGAGTCCATTTATGCTCATGCCTACTGCTTCAGTGACTCCATCCAGCCACCTCATTCTCTGTCGTCCCCTTCTTCTTTTGCCCTCAATCGTTCCCAGCATGAGGCTCTTNAACCAATTAAGCAAACTAATTGTCTCCTGCAAACTCCACTCCCCTTTCACTTCAGAACTTCATCTTCAGGATCTGGCCTTCTAAGAGCAGTAAGGGTTGATCTCTAGGATTGACCAGTTGGATCGCCTTGCAGTCCAAGGGACTTACAGGAGTCTTCTCCAGCACCACAGTTCAAAGGCCTCCATTCTTTGGCGTTCAGCCTTTTTTATGGTCCAACTTTCACAGCGATCCATTGCAACTGGGAAAACCATAGCCTTGATTAGATGCACTTTTGTTGTCAGGGTGATGTGTCTGCTTTTTAGTGTGCTGTCTAGATTTGCCATCGCTTTTGCTCTCCTGAGCAAGTGTCTTTTAATTTCTTGGCAGCAGAAGGAGAGATCTGTTAAAAAGAGCTCTCCAACTTATTTTGAGGGTGGAATCTTCTGATCCTCAGGCAATCCACAGACAATGATCTTCCAACAAGATCAGAATTGCCTGAGGATCAGAAGATTCCACCTTCAAAATAAGTTGGAGAGCTCTTTTTAACAGATCTCTGGGGAAAATCCAGCCTTACAAGAAGAGTTTTGACCTCAAAACTGGCTGGATTTTCCCCAGAGGATAAAACTTTACATTTTGAATGAAGGGCTTTTTCTGGTAGCATCAGAACAATGTTGGAATACTTCGGGTAAGACAAGAAATCCTTTTACGGTCTCAGAACATACAGAGTTTTTAGCCATTCAGCTTTAGCTCCTGCAAAAAATAGCTTGTCAGATATTATTATTATTATTATTTTATCTTGGATGTTGGAAGGATAATCAAAGAAGACAGGACATGGTGAGACTGCAAGGAAAAATTGAGACATACATTCTCTGTTTTCAGCATTTATTGGAGCTGCCCTAAAACCCTTGCGCTGTGAGTGGAAAGTAATGACTCACAACATCATTATTGTCTATAAAGCCAATGGAAACCATATTTCCGTGGGATAAGCATTTAAACAGTCTACCTGAGCCCAGTTGTAGCCACAGCCACAGTGTTTGGGGAGCTGGGTCAGAACATATTGGTAACATAGCCAATATCTTTGTAAACTTAAGAAAAATTTTGTGTGAAGGTTGACCAGTGTCAGTATGTTGAATATCTAATGGCGCATCTGGTAATAATTCTGACATATAGAAGATTAAGATTTAAAATATAAGAAGAACAATTGATTTGTTGTATGTTTTGGAAGCAAAAAGAAAAGGAAAGAATATGATTCGAATGAAGATTGTGTGCAATTGGAGTTTTTCTTACGTATACGTTTAATTGTAAACGAAGGAGCTAAAATATATGCCAGGTATTTTGCCAGTTCGCCCCGGTTTGGGCGAACTGGTAATGGGAGCTTCCGCCCACCTGCCCAGATGTTATCACAGATGTTCTGTGCATGCACAGAAGCTCTGTGCATGAGTGAAGCAAGTGTGCGCATGTGTGCCCTCCCAGTTCCAGACCAGTAGTGAAGGGAAGAGGATTCCATGCCTGGCCAGAAAGTATGCATTGGTGTCATCTAGGTTGGTGTGGTGGGATGCTTATGAAAACAAGAACCCATAAGTTTCTGCTAATTGTATGTTACACTTGAGTGAGTGACAATAATTGGAGAATAAATGGGAGGTGGTGGCGGGGAGAAACTGTACAATATTCTGAATGAATGTCACCCAAAGGAAAAATACTTTGACATAAATGGATGGGTGGGGATGTGACAAGAAACAAAAGAAACGATTGGACCACTTGATAATCCAAGAATGATTGAGAACGGGGATTGTTTGGTTCACATTTGTTTAGAAAGATGTCTTTTTTCCAATCCATGGTTTCAGCCTAAGGCTTTTTGTATGTACTCATGACAAAAGGATTCTCCCTGTGTGATTTAACTGTTTATAATAAAAGATTGGGACAATTAGCTTGCTGATGAAAGATTCTGACTGTGAGTGGAATCGTTCTTCATAGCATCAGAAGGAATCTTGGGGGTGGGGAGGGGGAAGTGCTCATGAAAGAAAAGGAGTGAAACAGAGTAGAGCAACTACAGGAAGAGATTAGTCCTGGATGGAGAAGTGTCAGAAGAAACATTAATCCGAGCCGAGGTGGCGCAGTGGTTAGGGTGCAGTACTGCAGGTCACTTCAGCTGACTGTGATCTGCAGTTCAGCGGTTCAAATCTCACCGGCTCAAG